GCCAAAGTAGAAGTTAGAATTGGAGGTAAAGCTTAGAAAACCTTAACGTTTTATAATATATCAGCATAATGTTTTTATTCTTAGACAAAATTTGACTTGCTACTTTCAAATTTACAAATTCTCGCATTCGAGGCATCGTACACTTTCAAATTGATTCCAGATTGCCAATAAAGCGACCTACTTTATCGACCAAGTGTTCTACATTACCGTGTCTTATTCTTGAGCAACTGGTTGAAGGAGCACAGGAAAGGTGTGCAACCCAGTTGGCAGTGTAGAACTGTAAGTGATATAAGAATTTATCAGCAGAGCGTTCCAGATGATTAATAGAGCTACCTACTTTATCGACGAAGTGTTCTACATTACCGAGTCTTACCGATACTGTATCCTATCTTACCAGTTGGGTACTTCCTTCCCCTCCCAAGATTGAGGTATACACTTTAGACAACGTTTAAACGATATTCAAATACGCCACGGAAATTGTAAACATTTCTAAAGGCAAAGTTCTCAAAGTCAAAGCGTCGATAATATATATTAGTTGCAAGGTAAAATGAGCGAAGATGATTCACGCATGTAGCAATTTCATTCCACTAACGACGCACTCGGACGTGGCCAATTCATACGCCGTAGAACGTCTGATCAAAGCCACTGCGACCCATATTCGGAGCATAGAATTATGAACGTGTTAATGAGCTCTAATGAATGCAAATTCAACACGCTGAAGGTCGTGGATGGGCTAATTCTCCATTATGCGGTTCGGCTGTTCTGCCACTTCATCTTTCGTGTGTAAACATTTACAGATACATGATGGGTGTCTTCTGAATCCAGGAAGACAACTGACGTGAAGATATCTCGAATAGCAAAGAACTACAAAATGTACACAGTATGCAGTAATATAAAAAATATTAAAAGTAAAGTTGGTATTATAATATTTGCAGAGTAAAATGTACTTTTAGGTTCAATTTTTGTAGATACGTTTGAAACTTTATCCATTAGTAATATTAAATAAAAAAATAAATCTGGGGGATATACAAGGGTCAAGTTTCAGAAAATTCTTACCTGTTGCTTTGATGGGTTGGTAACAAATGTAAGCGTTGGCCATGTAAAACCCTAATTGATCGATGAATTTATTGACAGTGTGTACTACATTACCGACACTGTGGCCTGTCGTATCGGCTGAGTGTTCTGTATTAATATAAAAGAGAATTTATAATACTCTTCTGCGGTAGTTCTTATTTAAAATGACAATGGCATAAATTTCGTACGCAATAAGGAAACGTTTAAGAGCTTGGATTGAAGCCCAAGACGGTGATCTGAAGCATTTCCTTTGAAAGAAGCTCGTCCTCTGAGGATTCTATGCTGGCTCGGTTCGGGATGAAAATCAGAGAACTAAAAAACTACTTGTAACTCGGAAAATAGGTCAAACAGGATAAATACAAAATTGACAAAGGAACCATCACGCAAGAGGTTTTTTTTTATTGCTGGTACGATTGTGAATCCGAAATCCTTCCATAGAACCGTGGGAGCGTGCACACGCTTCGTTTCGATGCAGAGGATACAAGTTTGTTTTGGAATAGCCATAGTACGACGCAGAAAAATACTATTTTGAAGGTGAAAAGAGGGTTTACTCGACGAGAGATAAAACTTTAAAGTCTCACATTTAATTCTGTCTATTGTTAATATAGCTACGATTTTTTTTATAGTTGTCTCATTTTAAAGCATGTTGGTTGAACCTGTATCTTCGTTCTTACGTATCTTTTAAATTATGATAATTTTATAAAAAATAATCGTAGCCATGTTAAATATTATTACAAAGGACAGGATTAAAGTGGAGAGTACAGAATTTAATTTTACCTTGATGGATACTGGAATGGAAAGGTTGTGAATCCCGATTTCAAATTTGAAGAATTTAAAACTATTTTGCATCATTTTTGTGGAGGCGTTGGAGCTTGGGAAAGTGTCGCGGAGGAAGTCGCTTAATAGGATTTGAAAGCTGAGGCTTCCGGCTTCATAATGCGTTTCCTTACATAGCTTCTCCTGACAACGCCCTTGTAAATTTTTCAGCAAACTTACAGGTTGCTGTTTAGGCGATTACGAAGAGATCTATTCATTTCATCCATGTTGTGGGATATAAATGATGGCTTGTAAAACAACCGAGAAACATGGTTTTTGGGATCAAATTCCTTATAAAGAATTCTCAGTCATTTTTAACTTCGAAAAGGGGGTTACTCAATTTGACATGTGTATTTTTTTTCGAATGTTTCATTCACTTTAAATCTATTAAATAATTGTTTGCAATTCCAGTATATACAGGGTGTCGGAGAATTAGTGCAAGAACCGGAAATGGAAGGTAGCTGAGACGATTCTGAACAACAATTTCCTTTGCAAAAATTTCGAATAGTGCCTTGTTCTTGAATTATTAACGAAAAACCACCGACTAATCACAGCGCCCGAGTAGCGCGCGCTCAGCCGCGAGAGCATAGGCTCGAGCCAGGACTGGCTGGCTCCGTTGGGTCGAGGCGTTGCCAGTTAAGCGCGCGTGATTGGTCGACGGTTTTTCGTTAATAATTTAAAAACGAAACCTCCACCGACATTTTCACAAAGAAAATTGTTGTTCAGAATCGTCTCAGCTACCCTTTTGAAGTATCAAAATTTCATTTAAAGCGAAAATCACCAACAAAGATGGGTCCTAATATGCTCATTAATTTTAGCTACATTTTTATTAGACAGGTGAAATATTTCTTGGTGAATAAGACAACTATCGAACTTTTATTATTATTTTCGTGCTTCGAGTGCGCCCCTGAAGTTGTGTCCATGTGTTTCGATACGACCTACCGTTTCCAAACTTTCCTAATTGATTAAATTTCCAGCATCAGGATCTTTCCTTATTCGCGTTGAAACGGAACCTAATATTAACTCTTCGCTCATCCATTATCGCGGTGGAACAGCTTGTGACCATACAGCAAGTTCCCAAAGCATGCTCCTGAACTTTGGTTACATATTCCACTCATTGCAAGCGTGGAGTAACCCCATACGCCAACAGCTTCTTATTGAATTATAGCTCTTTTTAGTTGGATGACACGAAAAGTGCTCCAAGTGATATCGAAGAAGGTGACGTGTTTTAGTTTGACCACCCTGTCGCAACTTGACGGCCAGATATCGTGGAAAATTGATATACAGCACCCCTAAGAGATTCAACCACATTAGGAGAGCTATTCAATCACATTAAGTTCTCTTCGTGATTTGTTTTTACAGAACAAAATTTACTTACTTTCTTTTAATTTTGTATAATTTACCAAATGTATAATACTTTAAGACGTACATAAAATATTCTCAAAATTGAAAAAAGTTTACATTTATTGTTTTTTGTGAAAATAAATATTCCTTAGAAACATTTAATACTTGGTCTCCTAATTTATTAATCCTCCCTTAAAACTAAATATTTAGAATTTCCATTTGGCCAATTAATTTGAAACCTAATTTTTAATGACTTTGAAATTCGTAGAAGAAGAAATTTGCAGAGAAAATATTTTAAACACTATTTTAAATAATAGATTTTTCGGAATTCAATTAAAATAGTATTTCAAGCATATAAAATTTCAGCAAATAAAATATTTTCTTTTGATAATGTAAAACGTAAAATAAAATAGTTTATTTTGGTAATCTATAGTTAAAGCATGAAAATAAATATTTTGATTTAGAAAAATTAAATCAATGTAAATTACAATTTATCGCAAATTAAATGTCAAATTGAGGATCAGAAAGTTTAAAAGACGTGTTTGTGGCATTTCTTAAAAACATTTAAAATGCAATAGAAGTATGCTCTATAAACATGAAATGTATGGTTGTTCGTGGTATATTTGTCGTAATGTTCGTGTCAGATAAGCCCAGAAATACAAAATTGCTCGTCGACGGGAGCACTGAAATGGTCAGACGCCTGTCATAAATTCAGTGCAGCAACTTCCTCGTCGCAGCTGGTATTTATGGGACCATTTCCGCCATCGCGAGCTAAAACTCTACCGCCAGCAAACTTTCACAGGCCGCCGTATTTCAAAAATCGAAAGTGCTCCCCTCGCTGACAATGACTGCGTTCGATTTAGGCGCTCGCACGTTACGGAAACTTGCAATCGGTGCCGCTACGGTCGAGTAAAAAAAATTCATTTAAATTCATTTTTTTCTATTGTCCTCCTTCATCTCTCTGGATGCTCCATAGTGGCACCGTTCTAAAAAATTTTTTGTTTGCTAACAAAATAAAAATAGAAAAACCAGATTTTAAAAGTGCTGAGGAAGTTGGTGGTCACTCAGTGATCAGTGGTCAGTGGTCAATATAGAGTGGTCAGTGGTCAGTGGTCAGTGGTCAGTGGTCAGTGGTCAGTGGTCAGTGGTCAGTGGTCAGTGGTCGATATTGAGTGGTCAATTGTCAGTGATCAATATTCAATGGCCAATGTGCAGTGGTCAATATTCAGTGGTCAGTGGTCAAGCTACTCCATTTAATGAATTTTCGAGTATTCTGAAATTTCAATGTTAGTTCTGGTTCTGTTTATATTTCAGATAATCAGAGTGAGAGAGATTTTTGACGGTGAGAGGTTAGCATTATGCAGTCTTCTGAGAGATGAAGGAAGGTAATACAAGAAAATGTATTACATACAACTCCAGTAATGCAACATGAAGCATAAAATATCGAGTATGTATTACTTACAAAACAAACTTTTGACAAGATCAATTACAAAAACTAAAGAAGAGAAGTGAATCTATTCCCAAAACAAGATTCACCGCCTAGAGGACAAAAAAGAAGAACTGGAGGAGTCCTTATTTTTTAAAAATACATTCATGATGCATGATACATATTTATAATACGTAGATTACCCAGCTCTATATGCAATTCGGTAATGTAATATGAAACATAAAATATCAATTACGTATTGTTTACAAAATAAAACGAAAGAAACTTTTGGTCAAATCAATTACAAAAAATAAAGAAGAAAAGTTCTTCCACCCCCAAATGAAGATTCACCGCCTAGAACACAAGAAAGAAGAACTCGAGGAGTCCCAGTCCGGACCAAGTTCCGTTCGTCGCGCATCGATTCACGGATTCGTATTGAACTTGATCTCATTCCTCGTAGCCCAATTAGCTCGCATATAGATCCGCCCATGATGTCGCGTGGGGTGGCTTTTGCCCGGAGCCTGCGCAGTGACAAGCGGCGAAGCGCAGCTTTCTGGGGGTTGGAGGAAAGACAGAAGCAGAAGAGGCAGCCCCGTGAACCCGTGGCGACGCGTCGGGTAGGCACGTCGCGACCCCCGACGCCTAAACATCCACGACCATGAGACCGTCGGGCGCCGGCTACGGGCCACCGAGTTTCAACGTTCACGTTCACGTCTCGTCCAGTGATTCTCCCCGTCTAATCGCCGTCTAATCCGATCCGTAACCCATCCGAAATTAATCCTCCGCGCAAAAATCTTCCGAGCCGAAAACCGTGATCGCCGTTTCGTGGACCGAGGGGTGGAAGCAAAGGCGCGGGGACACGGAATCTGGAGCACGAACAGGTGGTGCGGTAACGGGCCAGCGCTGGGGGAGAGATATATCTGGAGAAGTAACAGGTACTGTGACGAAAATCCTTCTATTCTATCGCTTCGATTTAGAGGAGTTGACGAGGATGAGCGATGAGGATATGGTAATAGGTAGACTGCGGATCTTTATGCAAAATAAAATCTTGGCAAACGTGGCTACAAAAAAAAAAGACATACATGTCGAATGGAGTAACCTCCTCCTTTTCGAAGTCGGTTAAAAATTGAACCTAAATAGGAATTTATTTTATTCTGCAAACATTATAACATGAACTTTACTTTCAATCTTTTTTATATTTTTGCATATTGTTTCCAATTTGTACTTTCTTGTACATTCAAATTTCCTATAAATGCATAAAGATCCGCAGTCTAGTAATAGGCGAGAGGTGTTTGACGTGTTGCAGGTGGATTGAGTACGGATGTGAGTGTGAGACACGTTCTACATGGGAGATTTTGCAATTTTTTTATGATGTATTTTTATGTTATACGGGGTGGATAAGAACGGGGTATTTTTAATTTTTTTTTTTTATTTGTATTGAATATCTAATATTTGGGTAATAAGTGTATAACTTTTGAATAGTTTGATTAAAAACTAGTTTGAAATAATTGTGGGAGGTGTTTCATGTTGTATTTCTATAAGAGTCACTAGTAATTTGACAGAATATTGAACTATTTCGTTGGGAAATGATGAAAAATATAACATTCGAATAGTGTGATTAATTTTAATCAATAAAATGTATGCTGAAGGGATAATTGAGGTACATTTATGAAAAAATTGAGGAAGATATTTTATGTTGTATTCTTATGGAATGAAAGACAGTTCATGCAGAATAAATAGGGACAATTTTTCATATTTATCATACGTGTTCCTATAAGTCCCATTTGTAATCAGTCTTTGATATTCAACTATTTCAATCGCAAATGATGATTAAAAATATAAATTTTAATAATAGCCTTTCTGATTTTGATTTGAATAAGGATTAAAAATATAATTTTTATATAACAGTCTGATAGATTTTGATCAATAAAATGCATATCTCAAGTATAATTGAGGTAAATTTATGAAAAAGTTGGAGAAGTATTCGATGATAAAAATATTAAACAAAAATTATTTGCCTGGATTTTTTAAAACATTTATACCTTCCTGATATGAATGAGTGTGGCGGTGGCAGGGAATGAGTCATAGAAGTATTGACTGATGTTTACAAGCTTATATTATTTATATAAATTTTACGGAATCCTTGTCGATAAATATTCTTACGTAGTTGGTAATTATTTAGCATTTATTTTACGTTAGATTTGTTGACAATTAATATTCGGTAGGTAATACACGAGCTTCCCTAATTATTTTCTGTGAGAGAAAATATCTCTATATTAGAGTCACTCTTGGCACTGCCAAATGAAGATGAATCTGTTTCCTGTCAATATAAGCTACCGTCCATAAATCATCGAGCACGCAGTAATCGCGGAATCAGAACGAATTGATATTGCGGAATTATATGAATTAGGGAATGAAACGGCGGTTGAATCATTTCAGAATGATTCAATTCCTTATGTTAAGGTTTCCGGAGGGAGTTTAAATTTTCTTTTTATTGATTCAATCATACCAATGATATTTTATTTGAAAACAATATATATTCTTGCACGTAACTTTTTACATAATCTTACAATAATAATCGGGTTGTCATTTTTCAAATTTAACAGAGAAACAACTCCTCGATATCAAACTCATTTTATTCATCCCTATGTAACTGTGAAATTATATGAAATTTTAAAATTATAATGAAAATTTCGAAGAAAAGTTATACCATTTCTCGAGTCTACAAACTAATAGCAAAAATGTTCCAAATTAAATTTTCCAAACAGAGGCAAAGAGGCAAATGGCTTTCCCAAAGTGGTCTTTAGCATTCTATTTTTCAATGCAAGACAAATGTTACAGAAAATTCGAAAAGGACGAGGTACCTCAATTTGACATGTATATATATAGTTTTTTAAATTTTATATTAAAGTAAACGTGAAAGATTTTAGTATTATATTATTAAAGTGTAAAATTATAAGGTCTCCTCATGAATTCCATTGTAATTTCTGTTGAAGCTTCAGTGACAAACCATCGCTATATTTTTATAATTTTTTTTATATTAAATTTTGTTAATAATCCATTCAATTATTAAGAAGATTGCACTGTCCTGCTTCCAAAGATAAAATCATAAGGTTTCCTCATGAATTCCATTATAATTCCTTTTGAAGCTTCAGTGACAAAGCATCACCATATTTTTATAATTTTTTTTAATACTAAATTTGATTTAGAGAGAATTTAGAATTTAGATTTGGAATATTTTAGAGAAGCATTTGTCTTTTCGTTACATATAATTGGAAAAGAATGGGTGTGTAAGACATTTAAATTAATTTGCGAGATGATCAATTACTTTGGCAATGTTTGTTCTTAAAATTGGAAGTTGATAGTTAATTTAGAGAGAATTTAGAATTTTGATTTAAAATATTTTATAGAGGCCTTTTTCCTTTCGTTTCTTTATTTTGTAAAGAAATCGATGTACATATAGGATATTTAAGTTAATTTGGGAGGTCACCAAACAGTTTGGCAATATTTCTTCTTAAAAATGGAAATTGATTTAGACAGAATTTAGAATTTAGATTTGGAATATTTTGAAAAAGCATTTGTCTTTTCGTTTTAATAATTGATAAAGAAATCGATGTGCAAGACATTTAAATTAATTTGCGAGATGATCAATTACTTTGGCAATATTTCTTCTTAAAAATGGATTCTTCTTAAAGATTGCACTGTGCTGCTTCCAAAGAAATATAAAATCATAAGGTCTCCTCAAGAATTCCACTATAATTCCTGCTGAAGCTTCAGTGACAAAACATCACTATATTTTTATAATTTTTTTTTTATATTAAATTTTGTTAATAACCCACACAATTATTAAAAATATGGCACTGTGCTGCTTCCAAAGAAATATAAAATCATGAGGTTACCTCATAAATTCCATTATAACTTCTGCTGAGTCGTGCTATGACAAACCATCACTATATTTATATAATTTTTTATTTGTATTAAATTTTGTTAATAACCCATCCAATTTTTAGAAAGTATACTGCACTATGACACTATACTTCTTCCAACCAAACAAGAGGAAGGTATTACAACAAAATGGATCCCATACCACTCAGTAATACAACATAAACCATAAAATATTAGGTATATATTACTTCCTAATAAAACGAAAGGAGCATGTGGTACGAGACAACGTTATTCGCGATGCATCGTGATCTGAGAATGGCCGAGTGCAATCGACGAGATTTCAGAGACTCCAACGCACGCTAGCATGGGTCACGCTTCCTTCCTTTCCTCCTCAGTTTCACCCCGTTGACTTTATCGGGTCTCGTATCGGTATTTTTACCGTTCACCGCTCCATTTTCTTCTTCGTTGCCATTCGATGCCACGTATTTGCCGCACGGATCGCGTAGCTGTTTCTCGTTTCCCAAGGACGTGGTGATTTGTAGCTCGGGGCACACGGTCGTAAGGTACGAATTATGCGGGCGCACGGCTCACCTTTTTCACCACCGAACCACCCTCGAATTTCCCTCCGAGAAGGGTCACGTTTCTTCGTTTGCGCAGCGACACCAACAGCCGCTGAATCTCTATAAATAATTAGCCAAAGGTAGAACGAGTTTTCACATTTGCATGAAACTTGACGTGGAACGGTTTTTATCGGATTAGGTGACTAATAGGACTTTCGAACTCGTTTTACTATTTCGGGGCGATCTAGGGGAAATTTGCGAAGACGATTAATGAAAAGCGAGGAAAGCTTTTGGAATTTTTAGGGCAGTCGTTTTAGTGATCGAATATTTTGGCAATATTTGTTTTTAGAAATAGAAATTGATAGTTGATTTAGAGAGAAAATAGAATTTAGATTTGGAATATTTTAAAGAGGTATTTGTCTTTTCGTTTTCGTTATTAGTAAAGAAATCGATGTAAAAGACATTTTAACTAATTTGTGAGATGACCAATTACTTTGGCAATGTTTGTTCTTAAAATTGAAAATTGATAGTTGATTTAGAGAGAATTTAGAATTTAGATTTGCAATATTTTAAACAGTTTTTCTTGGTTTTTGTACTTTATAAAGAAATCTAATTCTAATTAATTTGCGAGATGATCAATGTTTATTCTTAAAAGTGAAAGTTGATAGTTGATTTAGAGAGAATTCAGATTTTAGGTTCGCAATATTTTAAAAAACCATTTGCCTTTTTGTTTTTAATTTCTTATTAAGAACAGAAGGGTTTTTACACAAAATATATAAATTAATACATTTTAAGCTATGTTTAATGCATGTGCAATGTATATGTGTATGTGGTTTTCGGATGTTTTGGGGAATTAATTATCGTCTTTATTTATTCAAATGAAATAATTACGTTCCATAATAAAGACGTCCGAATACATATCCTATTTCTCTGTGAAATTAGATTACACAAGATTTATGTCAACTAACTGTTAATAATAACCATTTTAAAATATTGTTGAATTTCACTATAAGTCTCCCTTCATGACTGTATTATTCAAGTTTATGAAATATCCTGACAAATAACTTATCGAAAGTGCTATTAATTAAAAGTGTCTCTTACAACATCGATAAATATACGAGTAAACACCATTAACAAATCATAAATAAATGACAATTTCGCGCCTTATGGAAGTTTGAAGTGAAAAAAGAAAAAAACAAAGCCAAGGACGCTGTCTTTAGAATAGCAGAACCATCTAAGCGAACAAGTATCAATCTATTCTGCTATTGTGAATTTTCTTTCATTGTGGTAGGAGATTATGATGCCAGTATTGAGTCAGCATTGTTGAGAAAGACAGCGTGAACGGGTCCATTTAACGCATTTTCAATAAATGCAACAGTTACATAAGATGAACTGCAGAATAAACACCGAGAAAAATTAATAAACGAGTAATAAAATTGTATAAATTCTTCAATTAACATTTCCAATCATACCATCATTTATATCGTTTA